TCAGTAGGTCATAGTTCAGTTAAAAAAACCAAACACCAAAACACCTTGAGGTTTGTAACCTCAGATGCTGCCATAATTTCTCTTTTTTCTTCATTTATATCTGCTGAAGTTGGCACTTGCATGGAACATCTCTTCTAGCCAAGCGTATTCTGTCAGAAACCCTGTTGGTAAGAGAAAGCCAGTAGTGCTCTGTCCACATGAGGGAGTGCAACCTGAATTCTCTTCTGTTTTCAACTCGCTGGATGTGAGTCTTGCTTGAATAAAAAGAATCCTAGATATTGTTTACATTTTATGCAGAGGATATAAAAAACCTTTTAGCCTTTTTTTTAGAAGAAATGAGTGCACGCTCTAGTGTATAAAACCAAATTGGGAGCTTTTGTCTTCCTTGTTAACTGCGACTTTGTATGGCAGCTCGGTTTTCTTGCTCAAGAGGAGCATGAGCACTACAAGTCTACTTCAGAGCCAAATCTTAAGTTGTTTACACTGTTTTTTAACAGAGGTGATTTTTTTAATTTTAAGTCTTATTTTAAAACATGTAGGATTTTAGTTGCCTGACTTAGAATAAAAGGGATAAGAAGACGAAGTTTTCGTGTTCAGGAGTATGAACTGAATTAGGAGGATGGAAATGTATTACCTTACAAGTCGAGTACCTTCCTCTGGAAATGGTCAGCTACCTTTGAGTGAGATGCGGAGCTAACTGCACAGTCCAGTGACACGGGATGTGTCTTTGCTCATAAACAGAGACCACAATGTACTTTATACAAAAGGTTTATATTATTTTTGTTAAGGATGTCAGAAAAAAATTTGAGGGATAGCTTGGGAGAGAACGATCAACCATGAAATCACTACTTTGGGGGTTACTTTAGCAGCCTGCCAAGTCAGGTATACCTCTGTGGAAAGTACTGGCCCTGTGTCCCTGCTCTGCCAGGAGAAGCAGGATGTTGTAGTAATGAGTAACTCTCTTCTTGCTCGTACTGGCTTTGAGCTGTGGCTGAGGGGATTGCATTGCCTGCCAAAAATTGCTGGCGTGGAGTCAAAGTGGGCTCAGAGGAGCAGGGCAGTTGGGGAAGATCCCTTAATGTTTAGTGTTACCTGAATGCAGGTGATCTGCCTCGTTGCTTGTGATCTAATATGTACAGAAGTTGTCATCTGACATTGTGCTGCTGCTGACGCTTTCATCCTCGATGTGCGTAATAAACATCTGCTAGTGAGAAATGTGGTACACGGCGTCTCATTTGTGGACGGAGTGCAGAAGCTTCACGAATCCTGCATCCAAAAAATCCCCAAAACATGAAAGCACTACAAAGGAAATGGTGTGGATGTCCTTATTTTGTACTTGTATTGGACAGTTCAGCTTTGTTATTTTAGGTGGCTTTGTGTGCTGGTAGCTCAGTACGAGCTGTGTACTGAAATCTTGGTAAAAGAAACCAGTGTATAAACCTTTTCTGCAATTCATGACTCTCTTCCACGTGTGTTTTCAGCTGTCGCTTTTCAAGGCTACTCTGTGTGCTAAGTCTTTAGCATCTGCTTTGCATGGTACGTTTGCCAAATACAATATTTTAGAATGCACAGAGATGCCGAACAAAGGGGTTTTTATATATGCACGTATGCTTTGTTTTGTTGAGCTTTGAGCTCAACATTCTGATTAATTGATCAGACCCCCCTTATTTACGTGCAGTTCCCTACCCATCCTATACGTCGCCACACAGTTTGGATGATGCTGCTGCTGTATCTTACATGCAGTGAAAAAATGGAAGAGTATTGTCCCTGTCCTCCCCTCTGCTAAAGTAACAGGTGGACATAATTGGGGAAAACAGGAATTGAATGACTGAGAAGGAGAATTGTGGTAACGTGGTAAACTTGGTGTACTTAGTTAAAGAAAAACAAACAAGCCAAACACAACAAAAACCAACAAACAAAACCCTGTAAAACCGAAGCTCATAACTCGACCCTGGTGAACAAGCAGCATAACTTGGTCCTTCAGAGCTGTGGATCCCTTGGAGCACACCTCCGGTTCCTCCAGTCACAGCAGGAAGAGCAGATGGGAACTTCAGAGGTATGTGTGCATCTCCTCCCTCATGTCCTTCACAGCGGTAGGACTGCTCTGCCCAGCTCGTCTTTCTGCTGCCGAAAAAGCTGCTAAGGAAGAGTCGGTCTAGAGGATGCAGGCATGGGCAGGGCTGTGTTCTGTGGCTGGGCCCTAATGTGGGGAATTTCTACACTGTGCATAAGGCTGGTGTTACCAGTGTGCTGGTGGATTTGTGCTGATGTTGCTGCTGATGCTGTTCCCCAGCAGAATGTTACGGCACCGAGCTGCTCGGTGTTTCTCTGCTGCCAGGCGTGACAGCAATACAAGACTGTTTAGCATGTAAGTGAGATTTCTTGTCCAGAATCTCCCCAGGCTGTTTACCTCAGCAATTCCCATGATGTTTCGATGCCTGTGCCTGCTCTAAGCTGTTCTGTAGTTTCACTGGTGCTGTAACAGACTGCTCAGAAGCAGCTCCCTTTTGCAGATGGAAATATTCCCCTTTTGTTACAAAATACTGTGGACGTAGGTGATGCCTCACTCAGATGAAAAATGCAGATCAAGTTTTGGTGTAAGGTAGAGGACTTGGAAGGTCTAGAAAATATTGGATACAGACAAAGCTTATTGGAATACTATTTTTTATTTTATTATGCATGCACTTGTAGGTACTTGCATAGCTACAGTTTCTGCTGCAACACTACAGCACTGAATTCATTTGCTGTTGAAGGGAGGAGAGCTGACTGAGAGGAGATCGTTATTACTGAGTGTTAACAAGTTAAAGCAGCTGGTAAAGGAAATTTCAGACTTTCTGTACAGAATTTAAATCTTAATTGGCAAAATGAAGAACCTCATTTTTAATTCTCTCTAAGTTAAACTGTTTGAATTTATCAATATAGGTCAAAACCTTGCAGGACACCAGACTGTAGTAAGTTTCCAGTAATGAGCAGTCTTTCCCATCGCCTGTTTCCTCCCAGTCTTTAAATAACTCGTCCTCTTTCATGTTGGAAGAGGTGAAAATGAATTTATAGCAGCATCGATTGTAGCTGATGTGCTTTTCTCCAGAAAATCGAGAGCTGTGAATGGGAGTGATGCCAGCTCTTTTAGCACAAATTCCAACGAAGATATCTGGGGGCACCGAAGCTGGCACCTCCTTGGCGGCCACATACACCTTGCGAGCGACGTCCTGGGACATGACGAACGCGCTCCCGTCGCAGTAATCCGGGTAAAACTCTCCTGAGTATTGGTGGATGGGAACAAAGCCAGGGCTTTTGGGGTCTCTGTCGGGCACTCCTTGATGGATGACCCTCCCGATGTAAATGTCCTCTAGCTGCGTTAAGCTGAGCAAGTATCCAGCCAGACTCGGGATACCAATAAACACATCTTCATCTGTTTTAAGAATGTATCTTGCATGGGGACAGAAGCTCACTGCCCACTCCATGCTCATCAACATCTTCTGTGTCTGCGTCTCGGGAGAATCGATGAAACTGCCTTCGATAATGTCTCTGTGCTTTTGAGACTCCTCATTGATCTCCAGCTGGGTGGTTACTGAAGCTGGCTTTCCTAAAGCAAACACAGTAAGGACAGCATAACCTCCAGCGTCTGTCACGTTGCCCCATGTCTGCCTGATGGCGTTGCGCCTTGTCCTGTTTTCTGGGCTGCTGCAGACAAGAATGAGCAAAAATATCCCTTGGTCAGAGCATGTTGCTGCACTGCTGACAGCGTAAGAGAGATTGGCCTTTAAAACATCTGTGTTCAGCTTGCTGGCCTTCTCCCTTATTTTGAGAACCTTTGCATCGGTGTAAGAAAGAGGAAATGGCCGCAGGAAGTATTCCTCCAGTAAATCTGCTCCAAAAAGCAGCATGTGGAAAAGCAAGATATTAAAGAGGATGAAGCACCACTGATGAGTCCGGAGCCTGCAGAGCGTCAGCTGGGGAAGGGAAGACACAGACACTGAACTCTTGCTACCAAAACATAAAGGCTTTCCTTCATTTTATAATGTATTAGTACAAAATGGAATAATGACTTTTAAAACCATGCTCTTTGCATTATTAGCGTGAGGCTTTCTTCCTCCTAGAAACCTAAGCAACCCTCCTAGTGCCACAGCGAGATCCCAGACTGAGGACATTCTGAAGGCTCTTTTCTGTGCATCCACACATAGAGATACTAAGGAATAACGCTATTATAACTATAATATATTATAACTATCAATATTTTCTGACTGTTTTTAAGCTCTTACTGAAGGCCTGAGATGCTAATGAGGACCCACAACATTACTATGTGTCCTCAAAGGAGAGCCTTTAGTACTTGGCCTAACAATACCATAGGAAAGCTGGCAGGGTGAGAAGGCAAAGGGAAAGCTGTTATCCCTGTGGTCCCAGCCTCACACTAGCCGCACCTGAGCAAGGAGCCGCAGCCCTTACCTGCATGGTGGTGGGAGCTCTCCCCGCAGCAGGGTCTGCGTTGGCGGCAGAGGCAGTTTCTCCCCAGCAGAAGCTTACAGGGCAGCGTCTATCTGGGTCTGTGGAGTTGAGTTACTGCCTGATACCCACAGACGATGGCTTCTACCTCACCTGTCCAAAGGGAGGAAAGGCGATCCCTGGGGATGATCGTGTTGCAGCTGCATAAAACACAATGCAAGCAAAACCCTAGCCTTTCCCTTTATTAATTTCTGAGACGTGGGGTTGGGTCTCTGATAAATAAATGAAACAACTGTTGGGGCTGACTAGGTAAAAGGGGTCTTCTGGTAGCATTATGAAGCTCTGATGGGTCTGCCAGTTTACCAAAGCAGAGGCATGAACCCTAATGAGTTGTGCTGGATGATCCTTTGCTTTCTCTCTGCGCATTCTTTGGTTTTAAATGACCATATGGATTTATGCTTTTGTGGGGGCTGCATGTCCTGATGAAGAGCTGTGGTGGTCCACCCTTGGCCAGGCTCCTGCCTTCAGTGGTGGTCTCGACTGTGCCGGATCCTCCACGTGTTGGTATTGGCACAGCTGCGGGCTGCGCTGGAGCGGACTGGGCTGGGGAGCCACAGGGGATTGGAAGTGCTGAAGGGGGAAGTGCCAAAGACACCATGAACAGGATGGAGGGGTCGTCAAGGGGGAGAGTTGGATTTGGCAGCAGGTCTGCGAGCCATGGGGCACCAAGGGGGTGCTCCAGCCTCTGTGTGAATGCAGAGAGATCCTTTTTTTTTATCTTGACAAGATTTCTCAAAGATCAGGGTGCTTTTCTGTTACTGCATCCTTGAGTGAAAGGGAGTGAGGAGAATGCAGCGCTGCTGTGGTTTGCCATAGCCGTGTGCTTTGCAAGGGCGTGATGCTCTGACCATTGCAGTCCTCCCTGCAGCAGCCAAGTACCCCAGGGAGATGGAGAAGAGCTTTGATTTCTGGCTTGGGGTGACCACAGGTTAATCCCCAAAATGTGGTCACAGCTTGGAAGTGCATCATGCCCTCTAAAAGGCAGCCCAAATGCACACAGTGTACATGTCCCAACACTGACCTTAGCTTTAAGCTTTCCAAAAATGGGGGAAAACTCCTTTCGTGGAGCTTGTGTCAACTGGGCTACAGCTTCATCTGGACCAGCTCCACTGCAATCCTTGCAGGAGTAGTGCTTTGAAGCTTGGTAAGCTGTCAGCAAGGGAGGTGTCAGTTAAATGTGTTCTCTGAAATAAAAAGCTAATAAGGAAATATTTGTCATGTATAATAATATAGCACTATAGTCCCAGATAGCCATTGTGGGGGGAAAAAAAAATCCTCCTTTGAAGATGCTCTGTCTCCAGCTAAACCGTTTAATAAGCAAATAAATACTAGCATTGAAACCACTTCCATTAAAAATATTAGCTTTCCCAATTGTGTGTTTTTAGAATAATAATAAAACCCACATGTGTATCATCCCTGTTGCAATTATGCACAGCATGATGCTTGCAGTAATTCTGAAGTCATTTCTTTAGCACTGCTTTGTGGTGGCAGCAGGAGCTTCAAACAGTTGCCAATATCCCATATATACGATTAACACCATCCAACCACAGCCACAGCATGGGCAGCTCTCGGATGTTGGGTTTTATTTATCTGAAGAGCCTGGCTGAGCCCTGTTGGGGAAAGCTGAGGAGGAATAGATACGAAATGACTGCTGAAGGGTAAAAGACGTGATTGGGGGTGCCACAAACTCCTCACCTTTGCGCAGGTTGGCTGGGGGCTATCCCTCCATTGCCTCTATAAAGCCAGGCTTCAGGCAAACGCAGTGCACTGCAGCTCATGTGTGACCTTATCTTGCTTTTCAGATGGGTGAAGTCAAAGACATTCAGGGAAAACCTTGCTCCTGGGGAGATCTAAGAGTTTCCAGAAGATGAATGGATTCAGGACCCCGGGCTGGCTGAAGTCAGGTCAGCCTGAGGAAGGGAGCGCTGTTCCCACAGCTTCAGCAAAGCCTGAAAAACCCTGAGGGTGTAAATTAGGAAAACAACCAGGAAAGCATGTTTTCCTGAGCCATAGGGCTGTAATTTGCTTTGTCAGATGTTTTCATGTCTTTCTTAAATTTTATGTCCAAGCAAATCTCATCATGGGAGCAAGGATGTACCAATAACGCTGTAGACAGCTTGACCCACCATACAAACAGTGAGTGTTTAGACTGAAGGCTGTTTAGAATTTGGATTTGATTTTTTGGAGAGGGCAGAGCCTTGAAACCCCGTGATATCCAAAGATAAAAGCAGAGATGGCTGTGGTGTGGTGGGAGATGTTTTTGGGTAGGATGAGCCCGGGGCCGGTGCTGCAGGGGGGCAGCTGTGGTGCCATGTGCTGCAGGGGAGCAGCTTCTTAAAACATCTCTTAAAGCCTCCTGGCTTCCCTCCCAACGCTGTGAACATTTGGAAGGGGGGAGCAGAGCTTGGTTTGTTTCACTTCTACTCAATTCCGCTTCATGAAAATGCAAAGGCTCTGGATGACACACCGTTCTCAGGAGATGGTGCAGGCGGACAGGGTTTGTAGGGGAAAACCAGTTAAATTTGGTTTTTCCGATATGAATTTGCTCCAGTAAAACAGCTCAGCGTCCCCCAAAGCATCCCTACTATTTTCCACCTGCATTTTGCAGCATTTCATCAGCGCACGCAGACCTGATAGCACAGGGGGCTGGGAAGGGACTTGTCTGGTTTTTAATAGCAGCATCAATTGCAATAAATAAAAGGAGACAATTGTTTTGGTCTTAGTCACCTAATAGCAATGTTTTTGGTTAAAGATATGATTCAACTCTTGCAGGCAATTCCTCACCTGAAGTTTTCTGTGAGAACTGGGAGATGATGGCAGCAAAGGCTTTGCAGGAGTCACACAGTGTTCGTTTCATTTGGGCTTTGTCATTTAACATCTCTTCAGGTGTTAAACAGAGATAGGAAACTTAAAAACAAGCTAACGAAGCGGAGCGCTGACACACCAGACAAATAGCTCAGCCGCTCCTGGCGCACAAATGAGGGTGTCTTTTCCTCCTCTTTAATGGCTCAGTTGACTAGGCTAAAAACGTGTTTTTTATAGCCAGGCTGCTCACATTCATTTTTCCTTTGCATGTACCAGTCTCGGAGTTACAGAGCTCAATCACTTTGCATGGGTGTGTTTGATTATTACTTCTTGAGTTTAACGACAGCTTTGACAACTAACTCCTGCTATATTTCTCAATAAAGACAGCTTAAACCCTCTGTGCACTGTGCAAGTGCTGCATTCAGCCTCAGAAGCGCTGTATTAAATGTGAGCTGAATGGGGAGAGCATGAGCTTGTGAAACATGTTCTGAGGCCACAGGGCTTCAGCCCTTGGGCTGAGCCATCTCCTGAGAGGTTGTTTCCATGCCAAGATGTCAACTTGACAGGAAAGCTGCCTGGTTTGCAGTCAACCAGGAGTTATCCCCTCATCGTGAATTTTCAGTGTGCTGTGCAGGATACTTTGCCTTGCCCTTTCATTCCCTGAAGTCAAACATAGGCTGTGTCTGTGCCTGACAAGTCTAAATTTCACGTATTACGCATTTGAGTCTTGAATTTGGCTGTACTTTGATTAAATTCAGTCTGTGCTCTGACAATATTTGCGATAGGGAGTGGATCAGGCGTTGCTGTGCCTGACTTCACAGCTGTGGCGATGCTGGAGCTGGGGCATTGCCCCCCTGCTCTGGGGTTGGTGGGGGTGTACCCAAAAATGCAAAGCTGGCCCAAGGTTGTGGAGGGAAATGGGAGGTGAGTGTGGGTCAAAGAATAGTGAATTTTACTGCTATTGGTCTTGGAAGAAAAGGGGCAGAGGGGAAGGGCAGTATCTCTGGTCAGTGCTCAGAGGAGCAAAGGTGAAGAGAGCCCCAAAATTACCCGAAGACTGGGGAAAATGCCTTGGGGAGAGCGCTCAGCCTGCCTGGCTTTTCCCAATGAGAAGGAAGAGGTGTGTGGTGTTGTGATGTGGGAGAAGGCACAGAATGAAGCCGCCTCGCTGTAGTGGGGAGGGACTGCTCGGCTGCAGAGCTGCAGTCAGACAAATCCTCATTAGGAGGCCGTGCGGGTGACTAAGGAGTGAGGTGGCATGCGGGGAAGCCATGGGAAAGAAGCACCAAGGAGACGGAGGGGATGTGATGATCTCAGCAGCCGTAAATGCCTCGCTGAAGGTTGGATGGTCCCGGGGTGTGATGCCACCACCTCCACGTGCCGGGGATGGGAGGACCAGATCAGCCGCCCTGGGCTCTGCCACAGCTGCTTACCCTCTGCCAGGGAGAAATGGTCTTGGGTGGCATTGTGGGGGAATAGAAATCCAACACAGACCCTGTCCTGAACATCCTCCTTCCCCAAAGGCACCCAGCTCCCAAATACACCCCACCGTTGGCTCCTACCTTGAGTTTAGGACAAAATCAGGCTCTACTCTGCCAAACGGCAAAGGAAGAAGAAGCAAGGTCAGCCTAGGGGCCAACACTGC